TCAATTAACTTATATGATCCCGATTCCGATATTAAATAATCAATAATTGTTTATACCCGCATTTTGGTACATTGGCTCGTTGAATGTGCCATCTAATAAATAGTTTCGTCATTCTCCTTAGCTGCTTTTAAATGATGTCGTCACAAATTGCTGGCGGAGACATGAATACAGTGTAAGAAAATTCTTTCTCTATAATTGTTTCCTTATAGAAAGGTTGGTTTCTTTTCCAACTTAGACATTCCGAATTCGTTCAAAATATGCTAATTTAAAACACAGAATTCTTTCAGTGTTCCCCCGGGGTTTTTGGGCATGGACTGTTTCATCAATTTAATAGTGTTCGCTTTATTTTTGTGGAAACGAAACATGTTTTGCAAGTTATAGATCATTTCTATACTCTTTCTTCAAATGTTTCTCGTATTTCAGCTGTGCGCAGGTGTTTAGTTTTTCGCATCGTGTTTTTACATATTCGTTATTTAAATTTTTTTAATAAAAGTAATTGGTGGTAGTTCATGATTGTGTGTGGATTAATATCACAACACTGAGGATTTGGCAATAACCTTTTTGATCTATTAAAAACAACACTTACGGGGCAATGTTTATTGTAAGAACAACATTTTTTTCTATGAATCGACATACCTTAAGCATTGTTGACGCTATTTCCATTTGAATGAGGAAATAGCGTCAATGACTTTAGTTTCAAATGTTTGTCGACTTTATTTCGCTTTTGAAAAGGTAATAAAGTCAATTGACTTAATTTCGCACCAGGGTGGGAAATAAAGTCAATTGACCTTATTTCCATTGACCTTATTACCTGTCACCTTCATGGTAGACTGTAAGCCTTTTTAAAACTCTTTCGTTTGACACCCACATGCCAACATTTCATTTACTTTATCAATTTAACTGAGTTTCAATTTCCAAATAGGCGGCAGCCCCCCTCAAAAATATTTCCATCAGTTATCTTTCTTAAACCACTTTAATTTGATACCCATTGTATGTAGTCGCGCAAGAGTTTTTGCGCTCAAACGTATAGCGAAGATTAACAAAATAAAATAAAAAAACTAAAGTGGTGTTGTCTTGTAGACGCTATAAATGCGATTGTGTCTTATTTACATCTTTGCTACAACTTATATATGTAACAGGTTTGCCGTGTGCAACATCAAAAAAATGTAGTAAGTGATGCCACTGAGTTATGCATTAGCGCTCTGAACATCCTCCCCCCGGTGGCAGGTCATACCACCAGCCAAATTGTCATCGATGGGAAGAGCGCACAATTTAGTGATGGCTCGCTTGCAAATGCCATTTTCCGTTCTGACTTCGACCACACGAACCATACCATCATCGCCCTTGAAGACCTGAGTGACTCTTCCAAGCAGCCACTTGAGTGGTGGCTGTGCTTCGTCCTTGATTAGGACCAGAGTTCCTATTGCGATATTGTTTTTTGTGGATCGCCAACGCGAACGTTGTTGCAAAAGTGACAGATATTCAGAACTCCATCTTCTCCAGAAAGTCTGTTGCATGAACTGAATTTGCTGCCAATGACCAAGTCGACTGATGCTTAGTGTTGAGAGGTTTGGTTCTGGTATGGATGTAAGTGGAGCGCCTATTAAGAAGTGGGCCGGTGTGAGCACGTCTAAGTCGTCAGGATTTTCTGTAAGTGGACAAAGTGGTCGAGAATTAATTACTGCTGAAATCTGACATATGAGAGTTCTGAGTTCATCAAAGGAAAGCAATGCCGAACCAATAGTTCGCCAGAAATGGAATTTCGCTGCCTTGATTGAGGCTTCCAAAGCCCTCTGAAGTGCGGAGACCTTGGTGGAATGAACTTCCAATCGATTCCTTTGATGAGACATTGCCGATGAACGGCTTCGACGTGTTGCTGCTTGAGAAAATGCTGTTGTAATTCAGCCATCTCATTTTTTTCTCCAACAAAATTGGTTGCGTTATCAGACCAGATAGCTGCCGGTTTGCCGCGAGTGCAATAAAAACGACGCAGTGCCGCTAGAAATGATTCTGCCGACAGATCCTTCACGAGTTCCATATGAACCGCTTTCGTAGTGAAGCATATGAAAAGGCTTATGTAACATTTTGTTGATGGCCTGCTTCTTATTTCAGATCGGTAGTGGAACGGCCCGCAATAATCAACTCCAGTAACGAGAAACGGTCGGCTGGGTCGGACACGGTCTTCTGACAAGTTTCCCATGATCTGCTCGCACACCTTGGGCCTGAGTCTAAAACATCGTACGCACTTATTTATGATGTGACTAACTGCCTTCTTTCCGCCGAGGGGCCAGTACCTTTGTCGTATTGCCGCCAGTAATGCTTGAGGTCCGGCATGTAAATTCTGATGGTGAAAATGCAATATGATAGAGTTCGTAAGTGGATGTCCTTTGGGTATCACGACTGGATGTCGCGATTGAAAATTTAACAACGCGTTTCTTAAACGACCCCCTACACGGATTAGTCCAAATGAGTCCAAAAATGGGGACAGGGATGCCAGTGCACTTGACGGGCTTATCGGCAGAGACTTTTTCAGATCTCTGTATTCCGACGAAAAATGTACCTTTTGCAACATCCGAAGCAAATACCACGTTCCTTGTTGAATGTGTGTCGCAGTGAGGACACCAGAGTGATCCTTTTTGATGAACATGTGAACGTAGCCATATATGCGCTGCATGACTGCAAAGGAATTTATATATTTACAATTCAGTGAATTATCATTAACTGAAGCCGAAGAAAGTAATGCAATTTTACGACGTTCAGGCAACATTTCAATTCGAGCACCACACTTTGGCCAATTTCTTTCTGATTCCTGCAGAAATGGGGGTCCGATGGTCCAAAGCAATGAGTTCGATAACTCTATGCGGGAAGCACCTCTTGATAAAATGTCTGCAGGGTGAAGATTGGTAGGCACATAGCGCCACTCCATGCCGCTTGTTAAATGCTGTATGCTCGAAATGCGATTGGCGACGAAAACATTAAAACTTGAAGGCTCCTCTTTAATCCACGACAACACTGTTGTAGAGTCTGACCAACAAAAGAATGGACAACTGAAAATTTTTAAATCGTCAATAGAATGAACTACTTCGGCCAGAAGCGTAGCGGCACATAACTCCAACTTGGGGATTGTGACTGTTTTTAATTGTTCATCTGAACGAGCGACAATATAAACACATGCGCCGTACGCTGTAATGCTGGCGTCACAGAATGCATGTACCTCCAGACGGGCATTCGGGCTGGCCACGTATCGAGGAAAAGCCAGTTTTCGTATGCTACCGAATTCTCCATAGAGCTGAAGCCACGCTGTTTGATGAGCCATTGGTAGACTTTCGTCCCAATCGAGCTTATCTACCCACAATCGTTGAAGGAATACCTTTGTTTTGCATACGATGGGTCCTACCAATCCCAGTGGATCATACAATTGAGCTATGATAGACAAAACTGAGCGCTTAGTAATTGTTTTATTCACCTGTCGAGCAGAAAATGAAAATATGAATAGGTCAGCATCGGGGTTCCACTGGAGTCCAAGCGTCTTTGTAATGTAACTGTCATCATCGAATTTTATGAGCTTCTCCCGGTCAGTATCCGGTACATTTCTAAGCACTTCTTGCATATTTGAACACCATTTCCTAATTTTAAAGTTTCCTTTACCCAGCAGTTCAGATGTTTGATGCATTATTTGTTTTACTTCGTCAATAGTGTCAGCGCCGGTAATTAGGTCATCAACGTAGAAATCGCGTAGAACAATCCGAGCGCCGAGAGGATACGAAGCTGCTTCATCGGCCGCAAGCTGATGCATGGTGCGAACTGCCAAGAAGGGTGCAGATTTTGTCCCGTACGTAACCGTGTGGAGTTTGAAAATTTGGGTGTCATCTCTCGGATCATCTCTCCAGAGTATGCACTGCAAATTGTCAAGTGCGGTGACTCGGATGCACCGATACATTTTACAAATGTCCCCTGTTAGGGCAACCGAATGTGGGCGAAAACGAATTAGGGTGTCGGCTAGTTTTGCCTGTATGGTTGGACCCATCATCAATACTTCGTTTAACGAATAACCAGTTGTTGTCAGTGCTGATCCGTCGAAGACTACCCTAAATTTTGTTGTTGTGCTTTCGTTCTTGAACACGCAATGATGAGGCATGAAATATGTGGGCACCGATGGCGGCGGCTTCGATATAGGAGACATGTGTTGAAGCTCGCGATACTCCTTCATAAACGATACGTACAGTGATTTCTAATCATCATTACGTTGAAGACGTCTTTCCAGAGTCAGGAACCGCCGCAACGCCTGCTGGTATGAATCCCCAAAGTAGGTGTATGCTGGGCTTTACGGGCAGCCGAACCGAATATTCGCCTGTCGCCATGCGACTATAGTTTTCATTGAAGTGAGCTTCGCAATCGATTTCCTCCTTTGTTACTCTCCGAATAGGTTCAAAGCTGTTGTCTACTTCCCAAAATGACCGCACTATGTCATGAGTGCATCGATGATCTATTTCCCAATCAAGTGAATTTGTTGCTGTAGTTGTAAGTGCGGATGGCTTCGACGATATACCTCGACCTCCAGATACCACCCAGCCAATACGAGTTTTCTGCAAAATATGATTGTTTTTCAGGCGAATTTGACCAATGCAAAGTAAATTAAAGAATATGCCGGCATTATCAAAAGATCCACACGTTGTGTCCTGTGGAATTCGGGATCAGCCAGGTTGATGTTCGCCGGAATATCCCAACCAGTGATGTCAAGCGGATAATTCGGTTGATGCTCGGTTATTGTTTGAGTTACGGCCGAGTCTAGGTTCGCGGTGAATCCGTTGTGTAGTGACTGAATGGTGATATTAATGCTGGAATTAACAACGAGTTCTGAATCTCCAATACCCGAAACTGCGACAGACGATTTTGATTTTTTAAGCTGTAATTGATTGGCAGCGAGCCCGCGCTGTTCTGAATTAAGACAACGGTAGTCGCAAGTAGCACACATTCGTTTGAGCCGGCGTGTGAAGTGGATGAGAGTGAGTCGCTGCTTGTTGTCATGGCAACGAGAGCTGCTGGCTGTGGTGGAATAGGTGAGACTTCAGCTGCACTAGGCATTGTCTGATCTGTTTGAGAAAAGTGCAGTAGCGTGTGGTGCTTCAATGAGCACCGGCGGCATGCAGAAGACTTGGTTTGCTGCACGTGATGGCCTGGTTTAAGGCAATTTATGCACAGCTCAGCTCTTTTGGATTCCTTCCAGCGGTCATTTGGGCTTAAATTGGCGAACGATGGGCAAGAATAGACGACGTGGTCGTGCTTATTACAGACCGAACAGGTTTTTTGAGTAGCCTTTGAAATGATAAAGGAGGTTTTACGAAACTTGTTATTGCTCACCTGTGCGCTAGGTGTCTGTGTTACGATATCGTGAGTCATATTCTCCAAAGTCTGGCACCTCCTATGCAAAAACGTAACCATGTCCGTCCAAGTGGGCAGCTTGTCAGCCGGCACTTTTTCTTCCCACAGTGTATGAGTGAGAGCATCCAATTTCTGAGCTCTGATGTATTGGAGTAAACAATCGGCAATTTGTTCAGAGGTGCCTAGTGATTGCAACGCTCGAACATGCATTACAACTTTGTCCACAAGCACCCGCAGTTCTCCTGATTTCTTGTCAGCGCTCACCCTCTGCAATCCGAATAGTTCTTGAATGAGTGCCTGAAAAATTAAACGGCGATTATCGAATCTTTGAACGAGTAAATCTAATGCAATTATATAATTTTCATCACGAATTTCAAGCGACTGGATGGTGTCCATTGCTGCGCCCTTCAGGCATGAACGGAGGTGCTGGAACTTTTCCAGGTTTGACAGCTCGGTGTCATTGTAAACAACCGTTTGAAACATGCCCAAAAAGTTTGGCCACTCTGTGTATGCCCCTCCAAATGATGGCAATTGTAGTTGTGGTAGGCGCGACTTTGGTTGCTTCACCACAATCACAGATGACTGCTCTAGAGGCGGTGGATTCCTCGTCGAAGACATAAACTGGGGGTCCATCTTATTCAACTCCCTTGTAAGTGCTGCCTTAGCTCGTATGAAAGTGGCAGCGAATTCATCACGAGTGCTGGTTTCCAGCTCGTTGGGGTCTTCTTCCTCCAGTTGAGATTGTGTTGATTCAAACTGATCCTGAATGCGATCCAGCTGCTCCAATCTCACTGATAGCTCAGCGTGATCCATGACGCTGACTTCCTCTGAATTAAATGGTGTTAAACTAAATTGCCGTAGCAAGGTTTCGCCTTTCTTTTTTAAAAACGACATTTTTTTAAACTATTTGACCGATTGTGTATAGTCGAAGAAATTGACTGCTAGACCTTTTGTTAATAACTGTTTGCTTGGCAAACAACGAAAAATGTGTACAGCCAATTTAACTGTTGAATCGCGTGATTTATATATTCTCGTTGGGCTTTTGCACGGCAAAAGGCGAATATTGTTTATCATCAACTGCGCAAAGTTAACTGTTAAATCTGGTGATTAGCGCACGGTGCCTATGTACAGAGCAATCAAAACTGTGTACAAACGCAAGCAAGTAGTCGTGCTTATGTATCACGTCGGGGTCACCAAAAAATGTATGTAGTCGGGCAAGGGTTTTTGCGCTCAAACGTATAGCTAATCAAATGAAATAAAAAACTAAAGTGGTGTTATCTTGTAGACCCTATAAATGCGATTGTGTCTTATTTACATCTTTGCTACAACTTATATATGTAACAGGTTTGCCGTGTGCAATATCAAAAAAATGTAGTAAGTGATGCCACTGAGTTATGCATTAGCGCTCTGAACACCCATATTGTAATATTTAATTTATTTTATCAATGTAATTTAGTTAAATTTTCAAACAGATGGCAACCCTCCTCAAACATATTTTCGGCAGTAAGCCTTCTTAAAACTCTTTAGTTTGACACCCACATGGAAATATTTCATTTATTTTATCAATTAGACTGAGTTAAAATTTTCAAATAGGTGGCAACCCTCATCAAAAATACTTCCAACAGTTATCTTTCTTAAACCTCTTTTACTTGATACCCGGATTGTAATAATTCATTAATTTTATCAATATAATTGTGTTTAAAAATTTTAAAATAGGCGGCAACCCTCCAAATTTTTGCGATATCCTTGGTTCTGGTATTATACCGAATTATAAAAAAAAATTATTCAAATCGGTTCAGCCGTTCTCGGGTTTTGATGACCGTGACATACGAACACAACATTTTTATATATATAGATATACATAGAAGATGTCCAATGTATGCTTTCGATTTTAATTATTGACCACAACAAAAACTCCACATTGTACATTCGTGAATGAGCTTTCAGTTTCTCGATTACTTTTACAATTCCTTTGAGTAATTGAAAAAACTAAAGTACAATTGCAATTCCAGGTAATGGAATTTAAAAAAATCAATTACATTTTCAATTCCTTTCAAAGGAATTGGAAAAAAAAAATTACATTACTAGCACGTAATTTATTCCAATTACAAAATGAAATTCCTTGTAATGGAATAAAAAAAAAAAACAATTACATTTGAAATTACTTCAAGGAATTGAGAAAGTAATCGATTCCTTTGCTGTGGACTGAAGGAATTGATTCCTAATTACTAATTCTACTAATTGATTCCTAATTAATAATTGGGAGTAATTTAATTCCTAAATAATCATTACGACCCAGCTCTGCCCGCTCACTCTCTCACATGCCTGTCTCAGAGTAATAATAAGCAATAATCAAGTATGTTGGCACCAGTGTTGCCGCGAATAATTTTTAGTGGTAGCCAAATTCCTTTAAAAAAAAGGGCTAAAAAAGAGCTAAAAAATGTCGTTGTGGCTAAAAATGGTAGCTAAAATTTTTTACTTATATATACATCTGCGTGTATGCAAAGATTTTCAATAAGTAATGGTATAAAAAACAGTGAACTCTGGAAAAAAGCAAATATTTTATCCAACCAAAAACCTTTTTGTATAAAAGGGGAAATATACGGCACCAGGTTGCTGGTTCCATCAAGTGATTGTACCATCAGGCCCAAAACATATAACTTACCAGCATGCTGGTACAATAGTGGAATTCGCGCTTCTGTGTATTCGTTGTATCTTGCGTAAGTGTAACTGGACGAGCGTGTGATTGTTGTTTCATGTGTATTTATTGTACCGCTAGCAACAACAAATTAGATGCTCATTCAGTTACAATTACACAAGATACAACGAATACACAGAAGCGCGAATTCCACTAATATTTATTTCGTTACAAATGAGGTCGAGGAAAGATTAGAGAAATGATTACAGCCGAAATTTCGTAATTTTTCTACCATTTTGTTAAACATTGGTGTTTTTTTTTTAATTCACAACTACAATATCGGGAACTTAATCTTCCACAGACACAGCAAGAAATTTCCGTCAAAATACTTTTTACTTAGAAAATTAAGCTAATTTCACCACTCACGACACCAGCATGCTGGTACAATCATAAAATTTTCAAATAGTTTTTGAAGTCGCACCAGCAGCTGGTACAATCACACCCAAGAACATACACGGTCCATCGAATTGATGGGCCATTTAACAAATTAAGCATATTAAGGGCAGTAAACTTATCTATTCAAAACTATAGTCAAATCGTTAATAGATAAGTTAACAGCCTTAATCGTCTGATTATGCATACTTCGCATAACTTCGCATAAACTTCAAACTGTATTTTCGTATGTACTTTGTATCTAATTTGCATGTATTCCATTACCCAGAAATTAGCAGAACTTTTAAAAACTTAGCGATCTGTTGAGTTTAGATTTCACTTCACATTTTCTTAAGTTACATTTTTATTGGACTGGTACAAATGGTTGTGCGAAGTTATGCGAAGTATGCGTAATCAGACCCTTAGTGCACTGGTACAAATGGTTGTGCGAAGTTATGCGAAGTATGCATAATCAGACCCTAACACGTTTACAGTATGTATGTATAAAATCGTAAGGAACATACAACCAGCGTTGCCAGGTTGCCGTTTTTAACGTCATTTGGACGTTTTTTGTGCAAGAAATTACGTTTTTCAACTTCCCAGTAATTTTTCTCGGTTACTAAATCTTGTCAGTAGAAGTGATTTGAATTATTTTCTTAATAAATCTCAACAAGCTTTGTTTTTTGCCACAGCTTCTTCAAAAGATATTTGTCCTTTGGACACAAATGACTCAAATACGATGCATACCAAGCGAACGGTCATTTTTTTTGGACTATTGGACTAAGGATCCCGCGTTCAAAGGCTGGTTTTGTAAACACTTGAGGTTACGAGGCTTATTGCAATGTTTGCGAGTGCACATTAAAAGGAAAATCAGGAAGATCTGATCTATTGAAACACGCACGCTCGCAAAAGCACCAAAAAAACTATAGCAGCATAAAAAGTCAGAAAAAAGTAGGCGACTTTTTTAAGACTTCATTGAAAATGTATTGAACGCAAAAAAGGCTGAAATAATGCTATGCTCCTTCTTAGCAGAACGTAATTTAGCATTTTCGACAATCGACCACCTAACCAAATGTCTACAAAAGAAAAAAAAAATATTTAAAATCAACGCGATTCTTTAGGAACTTAAAAAAAAAGCTATCAAACTGCATACCCAAAAAAATTCTTAAAAATCCGAACAAAAACTTGAAAATTTTGCTGAAACTTTGCAGAATTTTTATAATTTTTGCACAAAGTTTGAAATGTGGATTTATATTTTGTTTGTTATATAGTCAGCTTGGCTTTTATGGAAAAATAATAAACATTAAATAAACAAAAGAAAGACAGCCACAATCGATCAAAATATTGATGACTTCTCAAAAAACTTTTCTAGAATGCCCTGTTTCATATTTCGTTTTAAAAACGCCCTATCTCAGCTGCCGATTCAAAATCGCCCTATATCAGCATATTTTCAATACATTTTGAAGTGAGATAGGGCATTTTGAACCGAATTTTGAGATAGGGTGTTTTTCAATAAAATTCTGAAATAGGGCGTTCTTGAAAAGTTTTTTGAGATAGAGCGTTTTCGAACTGGCAGCCGAGATAGGTCGATCTTGCACTCAGCCATCGATATATAAAATGATATTTATATTAACAATCTCAAACCAGTTTACAATGAATTTTAAATGTGCTCTGTCGAAATGACATTTTAATACACCTTACATATATACTGATGTATGTACCTTTGTATACAATAAAAGTATAATAAGAACTACCTTGTGTGCATACATTTGAAAAAGACGCTTTTGGGCAGGAAATGACGTTTTTTCCGACCAAGAGTGACGTTTTCTTAAAGGGCTAAAAGTAGGGCTAGGGGCAATTTTAAATTTATGTAGCCAAAAAAAGTATGTGGTAGCTAAATCTAGCCACCAAAGGGCTAAAACGGCAACACTGGTTGGCACCATGACACAATTACTCACAGGTATTGTCTTCCCATAGAGTTTTGCTTCAC